GTTAACTGGTAAGCTGGGACCACAGTTAGGGAAAAAAAAAAAATAAAGCAATTTAAGAAAAAGGACCCAAGACTGACATTACCCTGCAGAACTGTAATCTTCAAGTGCTGGCCTGACAGAAAAACTGGCTTTTTGTGGCAGACCTGCTGCACTTCAGCCATGTGGCAGGTGACAACTCAGCTAGGAACTAGAAGGCCCACACAGCCACAGGGACTTGGATGAAGGGGCCAAGAGTTTTGTTCCTGCAGTGTGCTCCACTGATACCCACCCTGCTTCTGTGCTTCTTCTGGCCTTACTTTCTACCTGATGTATGCAGTCCCTTCCTATGCAACCCCGATATGGCAAAGCCAAGAATATGTGCATATTTCCCTTGTATAGGAGCACTTTACAGCCAAAGGTATTTGCTGTCAAGAGTGCGTGACCAGCATGCCTTTTTGTGCATCAGCTGACAGCAGTCTGTGAAGGAGCATAAGCAGAACTGCACAAAGTCTTCTCTACATTCACTAGAGCCCCTTCTGAAGAGTATTATTTACCCAATAAAAGAAGAAAAACATCCATGGATTACTACCCCCCTTTAAAAATTAAATTTCTGAACCATATTCCCAAACTTCGTACTAACTTGCTATATTTAAAAAGAAGGAAGTGAAAGAAGCCTTAAATATTGTAATTCTTTTATCCCCTTTTCTACTCTGTTTTATTGTTTCAGTGATTTATAAGTTTACTAAAACATGCTGAGGAGTGATGAATGCAAAAGATCATTTGGGGTAACTGGACCCCCTATTTCATGTATTGCATCTGGACTCCCACACAGCCTATGTACTTAAGTGGGACAGCAAATATTTCCTCCTGGGAATCCCCATGCTAACATCTTTCAAAACCAGACTGCTAATATCTCAAATATTCTAAATTTAAAAAACATCTTTAAGGATGTTAAGAGGTCGTGAAGAGATGAAGAGGTGGTGATGATAGGGAGGAGAACTTTACCAAAACAAAACATGGCTGGAAGACTTGGGACACAGAAACAAGCAGAAAAGCTTGGTGAATTATCTCAAATCATTCATATACTGCTTTGATTAATTACCCTGCATACTCAGCACAGTTACTCTTCTTTACTAAGAGCTTCAACCTAGGAAAGTTGGTTTTGGCAGTCAGGTAAGACAGATACAGTCACTCTACAGTGAAGTTTGCCTGTGACAAGTTACAGATACAGCAGCAAGTGCAAAAGCTTTCAAATTTGACAAGGAAAGACATTCTGAGCCTGTACAGCATTGCTCTTCATTTAAACTTGTATATGTTCTATGTATATGTGGCTCTGTCTTGAAGGAAGCATTGAAAGGCCTGGAGTTCTCCTCAGCTGCACATACAGAGAGAGAGCAGAGCTCCAGAGATGACACGTACCAAGCACTACAGCACTGACAAGGGTATAGTTAAGGCCCTCCTTCATATTTCACCACATAAGCCTTCCCTTGGGCCCCCAGCGTGTAGAAAATTGTCCCATTAGCAAATTATCTGCTCTTTCCTTCATCCTGAGTACAGGAAAATTACTTCCATAGGTAAAACCCACATCAATAAATTAGGAAAGAGGCTAGGAAAAAGACTGGCTCATAAAGCTCACCTGACCTGATTCTTACCCTGGTATCAGCTTCTGCCAGCAAGAGAACAGATGAAGTTTACTGACCACTCAGATGTAATCTACTTAGTACTACTCGACATGCCGATACATGCATTGTTAAAAAATCAATGCCATACATTATCAAAATGCATCCATTAAACAGATAAAGAAGCCAACAATCAGGAGATACCAACAGCTACTGAAAAAGCATAACCATGGAGGGAAGTTGCCCCCATACCAAACGCCATTCGGTATTTTAGCTGATTTACCCCTCATGTGGCAATGTTGTTTTTTCTATGGTTTACAGATTCCTTAGGGCACTTGAGACTGCAAATGAAGAAAGGGAAAGCTCTATGCAACTCCTAAGATACTTGTAAAAGTTATTTAAGAAAAACAAGCTCTTAGGAATTGGTGCTTAAATTTTTTTTGCACTTATCTGTACCTTAAAAAAATTTTAAAGGTTTGCAGATAAAAATTATATTACAAAACTCCTACTATAGGGTATTAGCATGGTCAAAAGTGAGAATCCCACGTGGTTGGGGTGTCTGGATTTTACAAAGCAATATGGAAACTGGAAACAGTATGGAGCCACAGAAACTACTCAAAGAGAGAAAGTACCCTACACTGAGAATCCTAAAGTTGACTTCTTTTCTTAAATATAATGAGCAAGGTAAGGCAACTACAACACACAAATCCCCTCAAAGAGAGGGACTATCAGTTACAAGAGGCCTCTTTAATCGAGCACAGAACCACCTAACAAACCAGTTGTTGGAACGTAAAGGCAAACTGAAAGCAACGCACCTCTCACTCCCACACACTCCCTTCTAGTTTGTGTTAATTAAAAAGTGCCAGAAGTAGTACACCTACCAATCTTCAGATCAAGTCTGGCTGCTTTTTCTCACTGTCATGTCCTAGTAAAATATTTATTATTAGCACATACAATTCTGAAGACTCTGAGACACAAAAGCCTAGAATATACAGGAAGTCAAACTAGATAGATGTCTTTAAACTATGAATATGAAAATCTAGTCTTTAGAAGACCAGTAGGTTCACAATACATTTGAGGGACCCAGATGAGAATGGGAGAGAAACACAGGGATTTAAGAGTTTCAGCTGCCCTCAGTATTAATGGCAAATGAGCTCTTAAAACAAACAAACAAACAAACAAACAGTTAGGTTGTTTTTATGTTTCTCTCAAAGATTTCAACTTACCTTTTTTTTAAATCCCAGAGATTTAAGTTGTAACAAAAGCTAAAATTCTCTCAGATCACTTGTACTTACAAGCTGTTCTCACTAGATTTTTTTTTAATTCACTTCTTCCACAATTATAGAAAATGTAGATACAGCATTTTGTGCACAGATTAAACTCAAGGCTACAGAAACCACACGGTGGAAAAGACTGGAAAAACCAGAAAGTTTAGATGAGACAGTTAAGCTGCTGAGAGAAAGTAATACAAGACAGTTCACAGGAGAGTTCAGAGCTGAGATATTTTCCACTTGGATTTTGTCAATAAATGGGACAAGAAGGGGCTGGGGATTGGAAAAGGGATTGTTTGGTACTCCCTAGGCACTAGTTTGAAGGAGGCAGACATAGAAAGGTGTTCCTGGCTGTTAGACTGGATGGTTTAAATTCTGAGTAAAAACTACTACTCAAATTTCTGGAAAAGTTACTGACTGAATGCTGTGGTACTAAAATCATTCCATAACTGTGAAAAGAAATCCAAAGGAACACTATGCACCAGAAAGAGCCTTTTCTTGGTCAATAAGTCACACCATTATCTGGGCACTGGATATAACCCTCTCCCTGCTGCAACACAGGTGGTAATCATGTCCGAACAGTATCAAAGTCCCAAAGCTGAAAGGTTAAAAAAATCAAACAAGCAAAAAATCCCAAAGGCTTTGCTTTCTCTTAGGTCAATGGAAAATGAGTGAAACTAACTTCCTTCTGCAAATTCTCATCCTCCTAGCCTGTTCCATATACTCCTTCTCATCACAAAAACTTAGCTCAGGCAAGGGCTAACAAGATGTTTGTTCCAGATGGGCTGTTTCCTTACTGTCTGCATCTTTATTCTGAAGGATGCGATAAAACACCATCGACTGCTAATCATCCTTCATAATACACACATGTGCTCCACGTGGACACCACAGCCAAATATTCAGAGAAGGTCACGGACAAACAAGCTGGTTCATGCTGTACCTGCAACAATCTGTCTGAACAGCAGCCCTGCTGCTATCAGGCATAACTGGTTCGCAGGCCAAGGCAAGTCACTGCATGCATCAGCTCAGGCCATCCAACACCAATATACATTCAACAAACCTCAAGTCTGTTCCTAAAGTCCCCTAAGAACATGGAGCAAAATTCCTCCCATTTCCTCTTCCCACTACACTAGAGCAGTTTATAGGCCAAAGCAGTATTTCATGAGGTTTAAGTGCTCTGAGACTCCATGGTGATTTAGGAATGCCACGTATAATAGCATACCGCTTCTATCTCCGGCAGACAGCAGGACAAGCCCTGAGCAAACACCACAATACATCAGCAATGTCCTGCTAGAATAATAAAGAACAGAGATAAGTAAAGCACCAAGACACCAGTTTTTCTTTGTTTGGATACATATATTGCATATGTGACTGGTTTTTTTTGCATCATACAGACCAGACCATGCATTCTGCTTTTCTTTTACAAAAAAACCAAAACATATTGACAAGAGAAACAGGTCTTACCCCATAGAGCTCATATCAGCTGGGGCATTTAAAACTATTCAAATCACAGTGAGGAGAATGAGACCCTTAGGTAAATTCAGCAATGTGCTTTCCAGAGCAATGGTCTCTCCCTCTGGTTTTACTTGCTAAGGTTTACCCTGACTTAAAGCTGTCAGTCTATCTCCTGAACATCATACAACACAAACAAGCAATAGCCAGGATGATCCCAGCCTGCTCTCAGTTTCTCTCTTTCAATCATCATGAGATGTTCTAACTGCAGAGAGCAAGTTACTTTATCTGAAGTATTCCCCATGAAAAAAACAACCCCCAAACCAGACCTTTAACCTGAGAGATGCAGACTTCAATCCAGTTGATGAATGGAGGGACTTCATTACTCATCTAAAGGCTCTTCTGCAGCTTCAACCTGCTTAAATCTCTTGCCTCCACTTATCCTTGTGATTCAGTTGTCTGCCTGTCTCTCTCTCTCCAGTATGCTACTATTTTGCGGAAAGCTTTCTCTTACAACCCTGACTCAAGAATGAGCAGACATTTTGACAAACAAAACCTTTTTCTAGTGGCAGGTTATCTTCTATCTTTCCACAACTGGCAAAATACCTCACCAATACTGCATATTACTGTTAAATCAGCAGCTATGCCAATGATTTTACCGGTAAACCCACGTATTAGATTTTACACATTTTTCTTAAGGCATTTATTTAGCAACAACCAACAAAAATTCAATGGAAAAAATAATATACCCTCTGCATTGCTTCTCTTTATTCATGCTTCAGACAGGGATCATTAGTTTCAAGAAAAAATTCTGTGGAAACAAGGCAAAGCCTCTAGTAAATATTTTTGATTTAAAATCACCCCAAATCCCACACCCTTTAACCAACAGTTACATCTTAAAATGTGGAATAGATGAGTGTGTTTGAAAGTTCGTGGTGCAAAATAGAGGAGGACGGCAAAACCTCCTCAGATTTGTCCAGAAAACAGCTATCCCACTTTTTACATAAATACAGTCTTCTCCTTTCCCCTTTTCCTCTCTGTTTCCATCAACCCTGCAACAAAATCAATATATAAGAACATCAGCAGCAGCTTTGATGATAGGCAATGATCCTTTTTGACATCAGTCTGTGACACGATCGTTGATTCTCTATCTTTAAATTACATCATAGTTGTGTAAAATATGCAGTGACATCCCAAACGTGAACTCTTCACATCCGCTGTCGATACCTCAGCCAGATCCAGACTGCTGTTGCGGCAAGCGCCAGGCCTGGCACAAGAATGGCTGCTAGAGGAAGCCCACCTGATTCTCCATCGCTTTGATGACCCACAGGGCCATTTTGTGGCTGCAACTACAAGGAAAAAAAGAAGTTATTTGTGTCAGAACCCATCACAGGAGAGCCTCCAGTTTGGTGTCTGGACCAGCTGGTTCTGTAAGGATGTTCAAGACAGTTTCCCCACTATCTGTGGGGAAGGTTAAAACAGCTTGTATGGACTGAGCTTAACTGCAGAGTATCCAGTCAGTATCAGGCATGTTCGTGTTTCTCTGCCACTTTGTAAACTAGGACTCTAACGAACTGAAGCAGGATACAGCAGAAACAATAACACACACATACCCAGTCATCCACTGATAAACTTCCCATCACACCACTTCCTCCTCATTACCAGGAAAAGGACATCACTAGTTATCTCTGTTTTTCTTACCTACCCTCTGCACTGGTCCAGAAGACTTACTCCTTTGCTAAGGGAGTAGAAAAGGGATCTCAACCCACCTCTCCCCACCAACATGCTTCAGGTTGATCAGCATTTCTTTTGTCAATTTCAATGCTAGCCAGAAATTAAGAATTCAATGCTAACAAAGGATTGATGATTCCTCTCTGTTTATATCTCAGATAGTGCCAGTACATTCAAACTACAGCAGTCCCCATTTCGTATTATCGTAAAATCCTTTAGGTTGGAAAAGACCTTTAAGATCATCAAGTCTTGCCATTAACCCAGCACTGCCAAGTCCACCATTAAATTAAGCCCCACATCTACACATTTTTTAAATGCCTCCAGGGATGGTGATTCAACCACTTCCCTCAACAGCCTGTTCCAACGTTGGACAATCCTTTCAAGTGAAGAAATTCTTCCTAACAGCCAACCTAAACTTCCCCTGGTGTAACTTGAGGACATCTCCCCTTGTCCTACCGCTTCTTACTCAGAAGAAGAGGCTGACACCCACCTCCCTACAACCTCCTTTCAGGTAGTTGTAGAGAGCGATAAGGTCTCCCCTGAGTCTCCTTTTCTCCGGGCTAAACAATCCCAGTTCCCTCAGCTGCTCCTCATAAGACTTGTACTCCAGACTCTTCACCAGCTCATTGTCCTTTTCTGGACACACTCCAGTGCCTCAGTGTCTTTCTTGTAGTGGTGGGCCACACACACATCTCAACACTAACATGAGTGATGACCTCTGAAAACAACAGAGGAATTCTGTGTCCAGTAAAATTTTGGTCATTGAAACAAAACTGGAGAACTCGAGATTCTCTCTTCACAGACAAACCTTTACCTCTGAGAAAGGAGATCTGTGAGCAAACACACCATACTCCAGCAAAACAAAGACAAAGCAATACGCAGACAATTACAGCTGTGGCAACTAGAGAAGGCCATAGGTCAAAAAAGATCTTTATATGCACATGTCACACGGAGCACCTGGACATAGTACTCTTCTTCCTTATCAAATAGACAGCTACCAATCATAAAAACCAGTCTAAACTGAGCCAGCAATAACCCTAAGAAACAGGTAACACATACCCTGCGCTGAATTTTCAGAGACACATCACAGCCTGCATTCCTGAACAGTTCCACAGCATCCTTGTGCCGCAAATCCTTCAAGTCTTTGCCATTGACCTAGCAAAAAAGGAAAAGGAGAACCAGATGCTGAAGACAAAAAAAGCAAATTTTTAATGACACAGGCTAACATAGGAAGGAGATAAAAATCTTCATCTTCCACAAAATTCTGTATTTGGGGCATGATACTATAATCAGCAATATCAATATTCATCCACTCATATTATAGATGTATTTTTATACGTTGAGGCAGAACATGAGAAACACCAAGCCAAAACACTGAGGGTACTGAAAAAAACTACCTAGAAGCAAAATCAGAATATAAGACCACAGTTGTGTCAATAGCAGCTTCTGATGCTGTTGCTTTACTGGAAACAAATCAAAGGTGTGATTCTGACAGCTAATGAAAACAAAAGAGCAGCTACAGCAAAATTATTATTATGAGTCTCTTTCCCACATTGTTCCCTCTACTGGTTCACCTTTGAAACCCTGCTGTTTGAGAAAGTGTTGTAAACATAAATAAAAAAGCACACTGATGTAACAAAACAAAACAAAAATACTTACATACTTATTGGCATCCCCTTGAAAGTGGTAGGATTTTTCTTAATTTAAAATAATATATCATGGCAGAAAGCTTTATAGCCTACTTGATTTCATTCACTAAGTGGTTATATTATCCTAATTTTTTATTTTCATCTCCATTACCCATAACTGTATCCCCTAAGATCACATCCAGTGCCTCCCTTCTCTTCATATTTAGATACCCCAAACACAAGTACATAAATATTAAACTGTCGAGAAAAGATAGGATAATATTCTCTATTTAACTTAGGATCATTTCATGGATCAATAATAGGTTCCAACTAGTGCAAGGCAGTCTACAGAGGCTAAAAATATTGCATGTGGAACATAATAATCAAGTGTAAAATAAAATTAAGGAGTATTAAAAGATTGTGTATCACACTAGAAGATGCTACTTCTTCACCCATCACTTCGTAAAGCATATTGTCTTGTATGATTGCCAGCTGACTGAAGAACCAGTGGGACTGAACATCAGTCATCTTAAAACATTTTTCTAAAAGGAGAAGCAGCCTGTATTATTCCTGAGGAGCTGAAATGAAAACAAGAATTTTATGGTCTAGAAGTTTTATAGTTAAAAAATCCCCCTGAGCAAAAGGATCAGTAATCATGGATTACCGGTCAAAAAATGGAAAACTTTTATTTACACGTGTGTAAATGACGATCCATTGTGAACAAGAGAAGTTCTGATGGATTCTATAACCTTAGGAAGGCAAGTCACAGAGGAAACACAAATGCAGCACCATGGAGTGCTTCTGAGACAAATCAAGAAGGCAAAAGAGATGAGCACATCTGTAGAGGCAGCACTCAAAGCTCTCCCCAGAACCCCAAGATAGCTCCTCCATGAAGACTGCTCAGCATCACCTAATTGCATTCACCAAATCATTCCTCTCTGTGCAGTGATGGCAAACCTGCCTCTCATATCGCATCACTGATAACAGCACTTCAAGAACACACGGGGCGACAGAGGACAGGGCTTACCGCTAAAATTTTATCTCCTTCTTGTAATCGGCCATCAAGGTAAGCTGCCCCATCCTTTTTGATCCGGCTGACATAGATGCTGCTGTCATTGGAAATGTACTGCTGATCTGTCCCACCAACAATGTTGAAGCCCAGCCCTAAGGTAAGCCAAAGAGAAAACCGATGAGAAAAAGCTCAAAGCTTCAGATATTCTTGCTGTCTTGCTTATTGGGAATGCACCTTCCCACGATGCCCTGCTTTCTTCACCACACTAAAACTCACAGCACGTAAATCTACATCATCCTTTTAAACTATCACTGTCTAGAAATTAGTCTCACAAAACTGGTCTTGAAAGCAGAGGAGAGACACTAAATGCCTGAGGAACCAGATGCTTCATTTCACAAAACATGGTGAGCTGTATTCAGGGTGTTGGGGAATACTGAGGGACGTGCCATCATTTCTGAGATGCCGGTTCAGCCCTCAGCAGGAATACATTTCTTCAGCACAGCATGAAGGAAAATGAAATCATTTTGCATTTGACATGAGGCCATAGTAAATCATTACCTTTGAGCAACAAGAAATCATGCCTGACAAGCATTTTGTGAGCTGGGAAACAGAGTAAGGAACGGCAAGAAACATCAGACCCTGTCTACAGATGAAGAAACAGGTAAGCAGAACTGTACTAGGGCTCAGAAGGCTCCCCTTCCACATCCCAGGAGCTGGAACTGGTGTGCTTTGCCTCCAAGAATAAGACTAGCCTATATGAAGCTACTTCAAATTGTATGCAATCATTTTGCTCTGTTACATGAATTCAAAATGTGACAGGAAATAAAGACAAAGTTTGCAGATTTAAAGCAAAACAAAAAAGAATATGCATACATTAAACAGAACTGATGTCCACTTCACATTTTTGCCATTTTATATCATTCTTTAAAGTAAGCCTCAGTTACAGATATCTAGCTGGATCCAGCTTCTGGATTAAAGTTAAAATTTCTTGCTTCATCAAAACCCAGAAGAACAAACTGAGTTCAGAATCTGGGAATCTGGAAAACCACAGGTTATGAGAGCACATTCCCCATTGCACATGCAGCTAAGATTGTCTATAAATAATAATACATGACAAGGGACAGGAACAATTCCCTAAGAAGAGGCTTGCAAAGAAATAAGGGAAAGAAAAGCTCAGGAAAAAGAAAAAAAAATCAAATACACAATCAAAGCAAATGAAAAAAACAACTTTTTTTTTTTCTGACATAGACCAGTCATCCAAAAGTTATAGTCAAGAACAGCTGAAGGTAAATTCTGCCCATGTTCAGCCAGGCTGATTTATTTGTTTTCACTTTCTTTCTTATCTTCACTCAAAGTTGTGGCTAGAAACCTTGAGAAGAGGAGTTGCAAATGAAAGTAAAACCACCTTGTGCCTGCTGGGAAGCAGCATTTTAAATCAGTCATAGGAGATCAAAGGATTTACAAAATGAGTCATGCTATTTCAAGTGTGCATCTACAGCTCGGAAGTAAAGAAATATTAACTGCAATCTTGCCACGCTTTTTTTTTTTTAAAAATTCCCTTCCTGGCAGCTTCAGACAAGCGAGGAAGAAAATGAAAGCAAGAGTAAATTGAATAAACACTGACTTTTCAACTAGACTAATATCTGTTCCAAGCAGGGGCAGTCGTGAACAATAACACACTCTTCAGTGGAAATAAAAAAGAAAAAAATTAAAAATCCATAAACCTAAAAATTATTTGCCACAAAGCCAATACCCTGGAAACAGGGGAAATCAATACTACAGAAAGCATAAGGTTTAATCAGTACTTATTAAAAAGCCAGAAAGAAGGAGCTAGAGTTTCAGAACATATCGATTCTCTTTCACATATATAAAAGCCCTCAAATATATTTATATATATGAAAAAAGTATATATTTTGCAACTTTTCATCCACAATTGGATAAATAATCAAAAGTCACAGTCTTCATCATCAGAGGCAAATCTTTGTGCCAAAGAAGCAGCAATTCACACTAGACGAAGTTCAATATTCACTGAACTTTTTCACTGTGTCTTTCCTTTCCAGCACTTAAACTTCCACTCTGGCTAAAAATATCTTCCCTATAATTCCTTGAGCTCTCTACTATTCTCTCCCTTACAGTTCATGTAGCCATAGAAAGAGACACAGCACAGCCAGAAGAAAAGGAGCAAGGGGAGGAAGGGAGCACATGGCACTAAGTCTCTTGTCTAAAAGGTACCAGAAGCAGAATGGTAAAGCTTTAAAAGCAGGCTCTGGGCTAAACTTCTCGCCCTCCCTGAGGCTGCAGACCTCCCTATGCCTCATTTACCCTCCCTGAAACTAAAAAAGTACCTCAAAAAGACATGAAAAAAATTATAATTGCCAGGATTAGCAAAAAAAAAGAACTGAATACAAGGAAAGTTGAAAAAGAGACATATACACACCATTTTGCCACTGGAAATACATTCAACACCTCAGCAAACTTTTGCCAGAGATGCTTAGTATCAGACCTATTTAAACAAGTTGCAGTCAAAACTATGATTTGGGAGACTATGGTATTACATTGTGCTTCACAGATAATAGTGTTTTGTTCCTTCCACAGAAATGAATTCATATGGTAAGTACATTAAGGCCAAAAGGGGTTGTGGAACCTTCAAATCGAGTAACATAGCTAGAAGCCTAACTAAAAATGCACAGCCCGTCTTAATAACCAGACTTAAATCACAGTGGCCACATCCAAGACCATTCTCAACTCTGCACATCAACATTCCCTTCCACCTCTCTCAAAGTTTTAGGTTCCCAAACGCATGAAAACAGCTTTCCCATCAGAAGCAGCTTTGTTTAGCAAACAGTTTTCACTGACAAGCACAGCTTCATTAGCTTGAGCTCATGGCTCTACAGGCAGGGCTACGCGGCTTTCAGACCAGTGGCCATTCTGGCGAGCAGGGGAGGCAGAGGACTGCACCCCAGGCCCACCCTCTGGGTTCTGATTGCCAGCACAGGGGCCAGGACCTACCAAGAAATACGTTCACCCCAGAAATCGGAAAACGGCACATAGGCCAAGGGTGTGGGTGCTGCAGTCCCGGGGGGCCCGTGGAGCCGAGGCCAGCCAGCAGCCGCCCCTAACAGTTGTGCAGACAGACAGAAGGGCTGCCACATTTTCTTTTATGCTCGTTTTAATTAAAGACAAGGCCTCACGCACAGAAGTACAGCTGTAGCTCTGAAACCTCCCTGGAGTCAGGATTTTGCTCCAGAGGTTCTTTAGAGCCAAGATTTTGCTCAGGAGTTGTACGTTTGGTGCTAACTTGCTGCACTTCTGAAAGTGTGATTTGAATGGCATCATAAATCCTGAAAAGCAAAGCCAAAACAATGCCCCAAGGACTGCCCTGTTCCCTCTCCCCTCCAGCCCGTGCTCCTCTCTCTCACCACCCCAAAGCCCCTCGTGCTACCCCGTACAATGACCGCCAAGCTGACACTACAGGGCACGGTCACTGGGACACACGACTTTGAAATGGCACCTAACTCAGGGTATCCAACGCGGCTGGGCGCTCAACGCCTGCCACCTCACTTGGAAGCGACAGGAGCTCCACCGGAGATGGCAGCTTCCCAGGAAAACCAGAGGCGAGTTGTTCACGGGGACACCGGCCGGGGCTCCCGCAGAGGACGGAGCCTGACCCAGCAGCTCTCCTCACCGCAGGGCTGCCCGCTCTCTCTCGCCGTCCTCGCCGGCACCGTCGCCGCCGGGCCCTCCGCCGCCGCGCCGGTGCCACCACGCAGCACTGCCAGCCCCGCCACCACCGCGCGCGCTCCCGCTCCGGCCTCCTCGGGGCTCCGCAGGCCTCGCGCGGCTGCCCGCGGCCCGGGAGGCGCCCGGGGCCAGCGCGGGGTGGTCCCCCGTCTTTACCTGAAGGTCTGCGGGTGAGGCTGATGATCTCCTCCGGCGTAGCCGCGCCCGCCACGCTGCCGTTCATGCTGCGGCCTGATGAACTCGACACCCGGGGCAGCCGCTCCCGTCCCCTCGGCCGGCCGCCGCCGGCCGCGCCGCGAGCGCTGGGAGTTTGTAGGTCCGCGCCGCGGGAAGCGGTGCCAAGCGCGTCCTGCGAGCGGCACGGCCCCCGCGCCGGCGGCCCGGAGCTACAGCCGCCCGCGGGACGGGGCTGCTCCCGCTGGGCCCTCGGGCCCCGGGCCGCCGCGACCGGCGCTCACTGCAGAGCCTGGAGAGGAGCGGGCCCGCGGGAACCCAGCACAGCGTCCTCCTGCCCCCCGCACCTTCCCCGGATCCTACGCGGCATCTGTGCCTGGCCGTGCTTTGCTCCCCAGGCTGGAGGTGGCTTTCTCAGGAAGGTTAAGAAGTAGGTGATTGTTGTCTAGGGGGAACTTAGCAGAGAAAGAGAGAGAGATCTGACCTGTTCCCAGCCCTTTTAACTAGCCTCACAGCAAACTGAAAAGCAGATCAGACAGTGATGGGCAGGAGCAAAAGCCAAATGCAGGCAAATCGCAGAGAGAGTGTCTATGCCATTGCCTAGATATCCTGTGATACAATAAAGTGATGCTCTAGATTCAGAAGCGCAAATGGTACACACTGACTGCCACTGCTGGGACAATAAATACCTATCTATGCCCTAACAAGGCATTTGGTTTGAGGATTTGAGAAATTTCCTCAAAACTCTACAGATAATTACCTAGCAATAAAGTGCAAAGTAGTTCAACTTGTCTAACAGAGAAGCCACTTGAACCTGGCACTCTGTATGACGGGGATTTCTTGAACCAACAGATTCTTTGGAAATAAACAGCAAGGCAAAATTTATCATTACTTATTTCCTTATTAAACTGTATCCTTATCTATTTCAGCACATGCTACAAGTATGTCAATACAGACAATGACAACAGGGAACAATGAACAGGCCTGATCCAATTAAATTGCCTGATTGCTTGGCACTACAAGATCAGTCACATCTACATGTTGCAGGAACTTCTCTGATGAAAATGAGGACCAGCTGCTCTGGTCTTCAGTGTTAACACTATCAATCAATTTGTTTGGTATTACAGTACAGATAACAAATATTTTTGACTGCATTCATTCCCAGATGATCTGCATATTTGGATTCCTGAATTTAATAGGGAGAGGCAATCTGGGTGATGGATCTCTGAATTAGAGGAAGAGTGTGCTATGTGCCTTAATGCTACAACATTATTGCTTAATGCTAAACTGAGTGTTAGAACACCTGCCTCAGAGGTGGGAGACAGGCATTCAAAGTCCAATTACACCTGCGGTGATGAGCAAAACCATGATTTGTCTATCATGGGAAGACTTCTTAAAAGTTGAGCACAGCATTCAGTTTCACATCTGTTTCAGTCCAGTTCACAGAGTTATGTTGTCCTGGATGTCTATACTTTTTGTGGCCATTAAATAGGAACACTGCACAATAAAACTTGCACAACAGTCATCCATTATTTTCCCCCCTGTCCTGGTTTCAGCTGGGACAGAGTTCATTTTCTCCTTGGTAGCTGGTACTGTGCTCTGTTTTTTGGATTTAGTATGAGAATAATGTTGATAACACACTGATGTTTTTGTTGTTGCTAAGTAGCGTTAACCTTAAGTGGAGGAGTTGAGGACTTTTCAGTGTCTTGTGCTCTGCCAGTGAGGCACAAAAGCCTGGGAGGGAGCATAGCCAGAACAGGTAACCTAAACTGGACAAAGGGATATTCCATACCACAGAACAGTCTAGTTCTAGACATATACATGTTCAGTATATAAACTGGGGAACTATCTGGAAGGGGGCAAATCACATTCTGGGATGGAATGGGTATTGGCCAGTGGGTGATGAGCAATTTTACTGTGCAGGACTTGTTTCCTTTGGGTTCCTTTACTCTTGCCTTTTTTTTCTCTTTTTCTTTTTTTTTGTTTTGTTTTGTTTCAATTATTAAACTGGTTTTATCTCTACCCACGAGGTTAACCTTTTCTTTTCCAAATCTCCTTTCCACTGGGTGGAAAGGGGTGGGAGAAGAGTGAGTGAGCAACTGCGAGGTAGTTAGCAAACTCCTTGAAGATACATACTGTTCCTTACCAGCAGTTTAATGTATTTTAAAGATGCCAATCTTGGTTTAGAACAAACCCAATTTTATCTTGACCTGAGATAACTGTGATATTAACTGTTCTTATAAGTCTTCTTTAGCCAGGAAGAGATTTCAAACAAGAAACATGGATATACGTTGTACATTATTGTTGTAACTTTCTCTTAGGCAGGTTCAGGCTTCACCTATCACTAAGTAGCCTGCCACGTGTTAACAGCTACCTAAGACAATACCTTACTGCACTGGCACAGGCCACTTCACAGAATCACAGAATGGTTTGGGTTGGAAGGGACCTTAAGGAGCATCTAGTTCCAACCCCCCTGCCAGGGGCAGGGACACCTTCCACTGGACCAGATTGTGTCTTCTTATTTCCTCCAGCACCATTTCAAGTACTCCACTGACCCACATCTCTTGGGAGACAGTGCAGCAGCATTTGCAGGCTGCCTCTTCCATGTTCAAGTGACTTATACATTAACCAAGTTCTAGCATCCATTTAAAGCACTTTAAAAGGTAATTAAAACTATGAGGGGAAAAAAGGGGAAACCAGAAAGATTAGGATTAAACTTGAACCTTCCTAGCACCTTCAGAGCAGCGTCTTCAGAGTAGTGCGACATTTCTAACAAACTACCAAAGGAACCAAGTTATTCATAGCTATAGTAAAATGAGAAACAACAATATTTTCAAAGAGCAAACCTTAGCAAGGCAGCTCACACTTTTTATAAAACACAGACTAGGTTTGTTGGGATATGTGTTTGTCTTGCTTATAGCCTAAATTGTGCTTTCATTTACACCTCTGTCTCTTCAGCATGCAGGTCTGTAAATAAAAACTCCCTGACCCTCTAACTTTTCTCTGGTCTCAGCACAGATCTATACTTGGCAATTTATGGTACAGTATCAATCAGCAATAGGCAGCCATAAAGATGGCAGTCTGAAACTTCTGCCACTCTTCATCTATTTAAAAAGCAAAATTTAAAAAAGTCTGCCAGTACTTACCAGTTTTGCATAGCTAGTTGGAAGGTGATGTGTTACTTTTTGTCTCTGTCTTTTGACTAACCCCCTTGTTTATCAAGTATCCCTTGTTAGCAACACCTGCATTACGATTACTATTTCTCAGAGAACACTCCCCCTATGCTCCCCAGAAAAAGGTCTCTGGCTATAAGGAATAAATTTGTGGTGTTAGTCAAGGGGCAGTTATCTTGTCATTTGACATAAACACAGGATTAAGTTTTCTTCATCTAATCAAAATTATCCATGTTTTATCAAGACAATAAGCACAGCCTGCTGAGCAAACAATGTGTTACCTCATTTCCTCAGACAAATATAGATAATTATGTAAGGATCCATTTGCTCTAGACAAAAAGCCATGAAACACTGTGAATCACATCCTTTGTATTTCACATCCAATCATAATCTAACCAGCCCTTTTTTCATATAGGACATAATTATGGAGAAAAAAGAGTATTACAGGAAAATGTGTATTCTAAAAACATAAATGTCACATTTGGGAGGCAGCTAGAGTTGACCATCATCATTTGTAGAGTCACCAACATATTTCTTCCCAAATGTTGCAAGTATTGGGGTACTTATCCTGCCTTTATAGAATGTTTGCTAAAAATGTCCTCTTTGCTTCCTAAATACAAATAATTCTTTTGTTAGCAGAGAAGTGCATTATAGCCCTTAATCCAGAAACACCAGACCTTTAGAAAAAAGGTCTGTAATGTGGACTACAGAATCCTCTTCATGCTGATCTGATAGAAAGATCTAGTCACTGCTATAATATAAAATAATAAAATTAAAACTTATTGAATGGTATTTCCACGTCCCTCATATTTTTCCAGAAGTTAGACACATTTTATCTTGTGTTAAAAAAAAAATGAAAAATACAGTGCTTCTGTGTGGCACTCTGTAGAGCTGCAAGGATACATTCAGTTATAGCGTAAGAAACAATCACATGGTAAACCAAGAGAAACATCATGAGAAAGTCAGATAAAACATCTATCAAATATTGTAGGAATTCTGGGTGGGGAAAACTCTTGCAGAATAGTTCCGAATACTTTAGAAATTCAGTTAACTTGTGCAACCCCACAGACAGCTCCTCTTAGTGACAATAAAATACACAACACTTCTCAGAAGAAGCCATCACTCAAGGCACTGGAAAATTTCCAGAAAATAAAGACAATTTGTTCTTGTGAAATGTCAGATTTGGTGCCACTACACTGTTGATGTATATCTGATGGTCAAAAATGTAATGCTTACTGGTGTGATCTGGATAATCCTTCTCTACTGTCTCACAAAATGAAGACCCTGTTTCCTTTGGTCTACCTCCCTCCTGAAAGGCTGCTCCCTGTAAACAGTTGGAAATACTAATGAAACAGACACCTGCATCCACTGCAATACCTGTTTCTTGCCTGTTTGTGTGTCACAGATGCGAATTAAATCATAGAATCATAGAATGGTTCGTGTTGGAAGGAACCCAGTGGAGACTGCAAGAGCAATATTTTCTCTTTAGTTGTTAACGAATGACAGAAGCAAGATGTTCACAAACATCTCTCTCCCTGAATCAAAGAAAGCATTAGATGAAGGAGTAAATTGAAGCAAATAATTTATCTACAGATAATTTATCTTATCTATTTAAGAAGTTTGCATTTTTAAACTGTTGATATGAAGCATAAACACTCTACCTACAGTTTACCTAACTACGTCAATTTAAGAGCTCAGCGTACAAAGAACAGCAGGCCTTAATGCCTACATTTATTAATTTAAATTAAACAAAGATAACTTTTACTCTGCATTTAATGATATCATATGAGATTAGAGCTATTCGGAATGTGTTGAATTATTTTGATGATATTATCAGATGGCTTTGCTAAAGAGAGATTTCCCCAGGAGCATTGGTCTTCTTGCTTGTTGGTCTTCAGTAGATTTTGACTCACCATCAGGTGAGTCTTCTTTAGGTACTTCTGGTTTTTTCAGTCTTTGAAATAACTGCAGTATTCTGTGGAATTGGGCCTTTATCCTCCTAAGCCATCCTACTATTTCCTGTCTATAACGCATGGTAAGGTTTACTCCAAGGAAACAGAGAAAAAAAAAAGTAAGTAGTATTAGTCTTACTTTTGCTCTCTGAGAAATCTTCCTGGCTGGAGGGGGTCCACTGTCAATGCTACCTCCAAATCCTTCCAATTCACAATATGGAGGAGCCCAGCCATACTCGCAGTGGCAGTTCTTACGATTGTTACACACTCCTCTGTCATAACACTTTGTCACGTTACAGTCGTAGTTCAGCACTGATACATTCATACACGTCCTGTTGATACAAAGCTTATCACTACCACATGGTGTGCCATCTTCCACAGCTCCCATGTCAGCTCCTGGCATCCCTACGTGATAGTCAAGACCCCAACAATTTTTATCTCCAACAGGAGTTTGGACTAGCGTTACATGGTTCTGCAAGGGAGGTAGTTTGACTATGTTTTCACACTGAATCCTACCGCATAAGATATTCTCAATACTGCATTTTGTAAAACGGATATTGTCATGAATACCACAATTCCCAAACCGGTCACCTTGAGTATTCACTGCTTTGAAGCAATCTAAAGAAGCAGCCCTAGCTTGTTTGCCAAAGAGATCCTGGCACTGTTTACTGTGGGAAGAACATTTTCCTTGATAGCAATAAGCACCATCTTTGCAAGGGGTTCCATCTTGTAGGTAGACATCCAGTGGGCACTGAGGGGAAATCCCATTGCAATACTCTGGCAGGTCACAGCTGCCAGTACTTTCTCTGCAGAGTGTTCCTGCTGGAAGGACCTTACAGTTCTTGCAGCATTTTCCAGACGCACAGACTGAACCTACAGTAAGCGTACAGTTCGGGTGGCAACAAGGATCCTTTCTGCAGACTGATTCTGAACCGCAGTCACATTGCTCTCCACTTTCTAATATCTTATTCCCACAGTATTCACGCTTCGAGGTGTAGAAAGCGCCTGGTGGTGGTGGTTGACGAAGGCAGTCAGCGCCATTTACAAGCAGGTCAAAGTAGTATTTGTAACTGCAGTCACTGAATGCATCAGTGTCAGCGTTGCTTTCGTACATAATGCATTTCTCTCGTCTGCATTTACAGTCTGGTTTATCATGGCTCATCCCAAGATTATGGCCCAGCTCATGGACAAATGTGATAAAAAATCCGGACAACTTTTTTTCAGTGAAGGAAGCAACAGCTGATGACCAGTGGTTATCACACACTGTCCCTATATATGCCAATCCCAGGGTGCTTCCAAAGCTCTGGAATGCAAATAAGTGAGCAACATCATGGCGCATCCGTCGGGACAGGTTTGACTTTCGCCAATTGTTAAAGTCACTGAGTACCTTGCCGAGAGATCTAGTAATATTTATTAAGTTGCTTTCGGTCCATATCTCCAATCCCATAAGAAACAGCCGGACAGAAAGCTGTTTGTACAGAATGTCCCCAATGTTGATTACTTCCATGACTTGCCTCAAGACTTCGGATTTGTTCCTGCCTGACTTCACAAACCGCACATTGTCCACGACCACTACTATCTTGACATATCTGATGTGTGTCCACCAGTCCTTCAGTTCCTCGTTCTCCTCCTCTGCCTTTGGAGCCTTGAACCAGGGCAGCACAGCCTTTTGGTGCTGCAGCATCTCAGGGGTCAGTCCGCAGGTAGGGCCCATGTGGTTGTTGGCCTCCTCCATGCGGTAGAGGATGTGCCGAAAGGCTGGATCGTTGGGGATGGGCTCGATCTGGAAGGTATCATCCTCCACCCAGAGCACACCGTGGAGGCCCCTGTCACAGGCACTGAGGGCCACCAGGGAGCCAGGGCTGCCCAGCACCTCGCCCTGGTAGAAGCAGTTGTCCCGCACGAAGGGGTGCTCCTCCCGGCGGGTGCCGTCCTTGCCATAGGTGACCAACGTGAAGGGCCGGGAGACCAGGCCCCGCCGGGGCTGCAGGCGCAGCACCCGCGGCCGCCCCGCCACCTTCAGCCAGTAGGTCACGGCCGGGGGTCGCTGCCGGCCCGCGGGCTCAGCTGCCGCGGCACCGTCACCACGCGCGAGGGACGGGGCGGCGGCGCCCCCTCGCGCACCGGGGCACCCGCCAGCACCCCAGCAGCAAGCAGCACCAGGAGCCCCGGCAGCGCCCCCATCGCTGCCGCCCGGCACCGGCGCCCCCCGCCCCCGACCGGGCATGGAACCCGAGAAGGCCCGGCCCGGGAGGAACCGCCCGAGGCTCCAACTGCCGCCGTGCCGGCCCGGCCCCCGCGGGAAATGGCACCCGCGGCCGCGGGCACATCGCTGCCTTGCAGCACGGACAGAGGCTCTTGGGGGGAGGAAGGAGTAAATTAGCCTTCCACAAGCACGTTCCCATATTTTTATAAGCTTCATTTCAAATTAATGGGTGCTTCTCCTTCTGAACAGACATAGAGAGGCCCCCAGCTCAGATTCACACTCCTTGTCACAGATGTTTGTGTTGAGCAAGGAGATCATTCTTGGGTAGGCCACAAGTGGGAAAATCTGTTTTAAAACCTCAAAGGATGGCTTTTGCTTTTTTCACTCTTTCTATTAGAGGATAATTTGTGAGTGGACATCAGAAACAGGCTATTTTCAGCTCAAAAGAATATCTGGAAAAGTTTAGCGTCTGAAATGAAAAAGTATAGAAATACTCCTTGTGGTACCCTTTCTTAGTGTCTGCCTTATTATAGCTACTTACAGCTATACACACCCCTCCAAAAAAAGATAGAATAAGGGTAATTCACTTCCACTACATTCAATAATATAGAGGCAAATTAACAGCACCAAATATAAGACCTCAAGCCTATTTACACCATAGATGCTACATACCTACAACGATATGCTTTAATTACAGACATAACCGATGCAGCAGCCATTTTCCCACATCATGGCCTTTCTAAAGGCTTGTGCTTGCACAGCACTGGAAAGAGAATACTTACAGGTACCTCTACCACTTGGCTGCCATTCTCATTTTGGGATACAGCTACATCAAGACATCATCATCACTGGTCTACTCTGGCCTCCAATCGGGAGGTCTGGAGACACACTATATAACACTGCTGCTTCTTTTGAGAACGCACGCAGGATCACTCTTGAGGAGAAAAGACAACGCAGAAAGAATCATGTCTTGTTGATGCCACCTAAAGAGTCTTTCTGCTGTGCCTTTTGCAACTGGACCAGTCTATTTTGCATTGGCCTTTTTAGTCACCAGCGCATTTGTAGCAAATGTGGGTAGAGCCCTTCCCAAATCTTCGTTTGTGAAGCCTAGCCATGATGACATCAAGACACAGCTAGAACACAGTGATCTGGATTGTGGTAGGACAGGATGCCCTGTGCAACACAGCTTTGCACACCGGTTTTCTGGCACATATTGCTGGGATTCAGCATAGCCACAGCTGTTATCTTTTGGGAATTCTTCAAAACTTTCATTTCAGTGCTGAAAACACAGCTGGCATGAAGTCCAACCTGCTATGGCCATTATTTTCCTCAGCTGCAGGAGGTGCACCCTCCCACCACCCCATACCATCTCAGGAATCGTGCTTTTCAAGACCAGTTTCTATGTGCTGACCATCACTCTGGGACAGGCAGCAACATTTAACATTTCAAACTATCTGAGACAGGCACTGCCCCTCAGGAGGCTGAGCAGTGAGAGAAGCAGGAAGCAAAATGTTCAGAGCCTCCTTCTGCTGCCTCATGCCCCAGGGTCCTGAGTGGGATGGTTTTCTAAGCTGGGCACCTGGCAGGCCTAACCAACAGCTGTGGAGGTTACCAACAGTTGTCCAAAGGAACTTCAGACTCTGTGAACTGGCACCTTGCTCACTCCTTGCAAGTATGGCCAGCATTAGTAGCATACACTTTGTAATACAGTACCTCAGATTAAAGAAAACAGGATGCCTGCTTCTATTAGGATCCATCTAGAAGGATCTTTCTAGATATACATTCAAATCCATGATGTGTGTTAGCCTTAGATTTATTATTAATTTTAAAATTATAGGAACTGGTTTTTTTTGTGAAGTCTTTTATGTGCAGCTAGTTACTGAAAAATGATCCACTGTTTTTCAATTATTAGTTTTGCATTCCCAGGCTGCAAACTATGTCAGATTATGTCTTTTGAAATATATATAACTCAGACTACAATAACAGAAAAATCCTGTTATATAATCTGTATGCAATGTCTGTAGTGCTGTTTTTAAATACATACTTCTCCTGTGTGATGACTCCTTAAGTTATAGTAAAGGCCCTACTAAATCACTCTGCCAATTTGCTAAAGACATCCCTTGCCACCTGTACAAGCCCCCAACCTGAAGTTGTCCACTACTTTCTTTCTTTTTTTATATTTAGGACTAGAAAATAGTCTAGTTCCACTGTTGAACTCATGGCAGATTATTCTTGTGGGGTAGTGTCAATGTAACTTTGTGCCACTGCATTCAGCACCTAAGCAAGCCCTTAGGCATTGAGGTTACATAATTTTTATACAGTGATCTCACTGTTATGTTCAGGTTACCAGACCCTTGCATTTCTGTATGGACCAGGTAAAGATCAAAGGGCAGGGAGGGAAAGATTCTCATTGCATGACAATGAACAGGTTGGGAAGAAAAAATGACTAGCATTACAGTAGAGCAGGGAAAAAATATCACAGCAGTCTTTGCTACTTCAACTGCAGAAACATTTCTTCGGCAGGTGTAATTGGCTTCCTCATGAGTGTTTTTCAAATTTTTTTCAATCTAGTAGCCCCCTAAAATTTCCAGTGAAGGTGCAAGCTCCTATGGAATTGAATCCTACCAGTGAGAAATTTACTGTTCTCACTTACCTTCAGTTGAGTCTTTAGGAACAGGTCACAAAACCCCAGGAGCCTTGTGGACCACAGGTTAAAATCCACTGTCCTGCTAGAAAGAAATTTAACCACCTGATTGCTGAGAAATCACTAATACGTCATAACTCATCCCACTGGGAAAATTTCTCCCCCCCACCCATCCATCTATGATTCATTGAACCTTGAATGCCTAGTTATCATTTGCTTTGCTATTGAAAAAAATAATGAAAACAACCCTGAGAAAGTGTATCACATCAACTTTTGTTCAGAAACCACCTGTTGGTTCAGTGAAACCATAGTCTATTTGCATAATATATCTTCACCATTTTCTTCAAAGGGAACCTCTATGTCTCAAAATAAAGCTATTCTATCCCCTTTGCCTTGTCCCTCCTATTGCCTATACCCTTCTAGCCTTGCTCCAAGTACAGCTTGCTTTGGCAAACAACAAGTACTGACTGTCCAGATGGCATCTAACATTTTTGCTGGGAAAAGGTTACTAAAATATGAAGTATAGGGGCAGAGTAGCAAAGAGAAATGGGCAAGAGCAACACATAGCCTGGTCAGACCTTACTTAGTGAAAAGTTGAAAATGACAGTATTTCTGCTGCACCTGAGACACCATTAGCTTTACACAGTAAATTGAGGTAGCTAGACTAACCCTCTTCCTACAGTTTGGCTGGATTTTTACATGTATGTGTATATATAAACACATATATACAATACATGCATAACCGTTCATGGGTATGCACACATTTATATGTACTTTCAGACTATGAGAAGAATTGTTTCTATTAGAGTTCTAGGTAATTTTTAGCTCCTGCTACCCTGTGACTTAGAAAAGCCCTTCTGAAGTCTGAATGGTTATTGTCTAAGAGCAAAAAGTAGAGACAGTATGACCAAATCTCTCCTTTATGCAAAAGGAGCATGGGCAAATTTCAGAACTGCTGGCTTATCTCCCTTTCATCTATAAGCTTTACGAATACTGAAGGTCCTTTGGAAGGACTTTGGACCTCAGCAGTCAAGCTCTAAACCAAGAGAGAGCCTATAAATATCAAAGAGAAAAGGTTTAGATTCTTACACACTGGAAAACATTATTGACTACAAGATAGCTGCTTAACTTCTTTTTAACAGTAAATTACTTGGAGTTTAACAGTAATATCTGACATAATGTCATTTCAGTAAGTTAATATCATAGCTCACTTAACTGATAAAATTATTTTAGAATATCTGGTCAGCAAGTAACAGGATCAGAAGGTATTTCAGTCCCTTGTATGGCAAACGTTCAGCACTGGACAGCTGCTAAGAAATGGGCACACTCATTAGTAACATCCCTAACTGCTTTATAATCTAATTCTCTCAGGAAAAGATCATTCCCCTAGAAGAGGCTTATCACATTTAAATGCATTGTTTCATGAATGGAAGCCATTTTCTGTCCTCTCAATAACTTAGATGCTAGCACTTTACCTCAGATGGGATCAGACCAGAAGTCCATTCTTTGTAACGCCCTTTGACACCAGCCAATACCAGATATTTCTGCAGAACGCAAAAAGGCTGCTAAGAGATGAAGAGATGAGGACAGTCTGCCCCTTCAGGCCCTTATCTCTGAATTGGCTCAAATTCTGAGCATGGAATATGATTCAGTCTAAATGTTAACTCCAATTCAGCTTCATTAACTTGTCTCTCTGTTCTTGTACTACAAGACGGAACAAGAGTTCTCTACTTTCCTATTTGCTTCACTACTCAGTTTTACAAACACTCGGTATTTGTCCTTTCTTTCCAAAGGAACTGAAGTCTTGGTCCTCCAAGTACCATCATAGGAGAAACTTTCTCCTACTCATTTTATTGCCCTTCTTCAAACCCCCCTACTTTAGAGGAATTCTTTTTCAGACATTGAGCTGTACAATACACTTTATTTCAGGTAAAGTCCAGTGGCTGATAGAATACTTTGCTCATACTATGTTCTACCATCCATTTTTTACCACAGCTGTTCGTCTCTTCAGCAAGATATCTTTCTTCTGCTAGTAGTGGTAAATATTTCCTTGGTATACAAATAGATAATTTTTTTCCATTAAAACAAACAACCAACAACAACAATAAAAAGAACCAAAAGAAACCCCCCACAACCAAAGCCTAACACTCCAGATCTTCATTACAATGCAGTCTAGTTATCTTTCTTGCTTAAGTTTTTCCAAATTACATACAGGTTCCTCAGCTCCTCAAATGGACATTTCCAAGGACTTCATTCTGAACATCAACAGCAAGGACTCCTGAGGTTCCTCACCATTCAGGTCTTATTTCTGGAGACCCTTCCTTTCCATCATTG